TTTTCACCATCTTGATCATAATATTGTTGTCTGTGCAATGTTTTAGTACTAATAAATTAAATATTTATACAATTTTATTAGAAAGTAAAGATGCAAATTTTCTCTTATATTGAATAATCCTTAATTCAGCAATTTTCCAGTTGAGCTGATTAACATATTTTATCAAAAAACAAAAGGTCATAAATGAAAATGTAAGAATGAAAATGAGCTCTTCATTAATATTCATGAAGGTATTCTGTTTATGTCGATCAATAAAGATTACTAATGTTAAACTGGACATAGTGGCACTTGCCTGTAATCCCAGCTACAGCTACTTGGGGAGTTGAGGCAGGAGGTTCACAAGTTCAGAGCCAGTTTGAACAGATTAAGGAGAACTTGTCTCAAAATGAATTTAAAAGGCTCAGTGTGATACCTTGGTTTCCATCACCCATATCAGAAGCAAAATAAAGATCAGTAACTTTTGAATTTTTCTATATTAATGTTTAATTGGCTTAGTTTTAATATAGAAAAGCCACACTCTTACAACTAAAATGGTTTTAATTGAAAAATACATAAATTTTTAGAAATCTTCCAATATCCAACCAGTGAGGATATAGTTCCTATTAACACTTTGGTGAATTCTGATCCTCCATTGACACTTGTCATTTGATTCTAATGCTTATTTTCTGTGAGCAGGGAGAGGAAAGATGATATTTGAAATAAATCTATGGTTTAAGCAGCCTACCAAGCAGTCCCTTGCTGGTGTGGGCACTTCTGCTTTTTGCATTTGACTTTCTTGGGGCTCCATCATGCCCTTCTAATGTATCTGTGAAAGAGTTTCTCACATGATACTGCGTTCCTTTTAAGTTGGGTTCCTTCGACTTCTACCCTGATTCCTATCTTCTCCTTCTTGACTACCTTTCCTGAAAATGTAGAAGAGGCCAAGAAGGCTCTAAGTGGTACAGTCATTTTTGAATAGTTCACTCCCGATTATCGGCTGCTCAATTTGGTACACTGGATTTTCAGTTCTTTGTTGTAAGTTTTTTGGTCATAGGTAAAATTGTAAGGGATCAAAGAAAAACCTCAACGTCCTATGACAATATAATTCCAGTGTTAAGAGATGAAAGTGTGATTTATTTATTCATTTTCTCTTTCGCTATGAAACTTAGTTATGATTTCTTTATAGGCTTTAATCATTTAAGAGGTTTCAATTATTATTACCACAGCACTATGTTCTCATTGAACTTCATTTTTAATAATTATAATGATGACAAGCATTTCCCTCTTAATTATAATCAGATCAATTTCAGGCTTAGCTTTTTTCAAAAACTTGCCATTATATGACTCTTTATTCATAGAAGTCTTTTATGTCTATTTTCATTCATTGTCTCTCTCTCTTCCTTGCCAAAGAGCTGAAAATTGCCTTTGTAAATAAATTCTTCATTCTTGTTACAGAAAACAGCTGTCTTAATTTTGATTGTTCTTCCCAAAAATTTTTAGCAAAGTTGTTACTGTATATTTCTCTCTCACCTCCTTAGAGACGTATTGAATTCCTATTTCAATATCTGATACATGGGAATAAAGAAGGTGCCCAAGAATTTTCACGAGTAATGTATAAATTAACTCAATCATTATTTTCAACAAATTTTAAATGTCTTTCCTGAATGTTGCTTATTTACCAGACAGAGTGCTATCTTTGCTGACAAGGAACATATAGAAGCGCAGCAATAAAAGAAATCCAATCTCAAAATCACTGATAATATTTAAGATTTCAAATATCACTCTTCTCAACTGACATGCTGTGTAATTACATCAGAAGTGCAGACAGAAGTTTTTCTAGAGTGATCCTCCTTCCACAGAACTGAATAATTTATTCCTTCTTTGCTCTTTTCAAAAAAATATTTGAGAGAGAAAAAACAAAATGTGCATTTTATTTCATTACTTAACTCTATATTATTATTTCTTTATAAAATATTATTACTTTTTAGCAAGTGTTTGTTGAGAAAAACTTAAAATATATTGTGAAAAAACCCGCAAAAAACAACTGCAAAGAAACTATGCATGCAGGTGCTAGTCCATGTCAAATTCAGTTTTAATACCATCTGGGAAAATGAGATCCGGAACAACAACAAAAAAATGACTTTTCCTGTTTTTTTTCTGAGCAGCGTATGAGAAGATTTAGGTCAATATGTAAATGCTTGTGCACATGAAGGGGAAGCATGCAGAGGTGGTTCTGAATGGCAAGCCACCAGGGAGACAGTGAAGAAATTATTAGATAGTGGTAAGACTGCCATACAGAAAAGAGAAAAGGTGATGCTATAAGAGATGACGTCTCCCTTCCACACAGTTTGGTAGCATCCTAACAGTTATTTTGTCATGAATGTAGGTCATTTTTCCACTTAGAAATTTGCTGCAGGAGTTTCCTTTCATTCAGTCAACAGATGCTGAATAGGACCACAGATTGATTCTGTCTCTAAATTCTCTCAGTCTGCTGCAGTAGTCTATATTTGGTTAGAAGTGACCTATTCTAAGTAGCACATGTTCAAAGTATCAAAAACAGAATCTATGCCTGTGACTCTTAATTTTTCTCCTATTGTATTGAAATGTACTTTGTAGAACAAAATAATGTTTGTCATTTTTGGAACACATTGCTAAAAAAAAACCAGTATTTCTCTGCTTGAGTATTCCCCTTGATTACAGGGTCAGGAACATTTAGCATCATTGGAAGCATATATGTGGGAATTCTTGCTTGCACCTGAGATGGTCTTAAAGTTGACTTACCTAAATAGAACGTTAATGGCTATGTACAAAAGCCTCTGTAGAACTGTGTTTTGTGCTCAGTGTTCAGTGAACAGTACTGGAAGGTGCTGTCAATCTTTGTTGGCAGATAAAGTAATTATCTTGCTATTCCAGTAGTTTCTAAAAGCTGTATCTGTGCCTTTGTCTTCTCTTTTTCTCAGTACTATCTGTATGTTAGTGGATCCTAAAATAACAATTAAAATATCTCCATTCTCCAGCCCTCCTTAATTCTTCTAGCCTTATGTCCTATTCTGATGTTTGGTGCATGACACTGAAACTGCCTTCACAGTATCAACATTTCAACATTTCTCTCCTGTCTGAAATAAAATCTACTTGGTAAAGGGAAAGTGTAGTGTATATTAGTCATCAGCTGTAGAGTCTGAAAGGCATTCCAAAAGTATCTGACAAATAAAAAAAAGAACACTGCTTTCACATCTACCATCACATTGCAATAATTCAGTGATCGTGATCCCAAAATGTGAGACATGATGAAAGCTAGAGATGATTAGACTAAAATAGAATTATCTTTTCCAAATGATTTGCTCTAGTTACTTTAAGACAGAATCTGCACACAGAACCATACCTACTGGATAATAGCTTTCAGACTTTCATAGCTGGGCACAGGCTGAGCCCATGAGCAACTCATACAAGGTGCTGTGGGACCCGCCGGAACCCCTTTCAGAGCTACCAGGAGCTCTCCCGTGACTGCAGTCATCCCGAAAAACTGATTCAAAGAAATAGTGAGCAAGGTATCCACGTGTGAGCTGTGATAGTCTTAAAACATAATTTAGAGTGATTTAAGCTAACAATGTATGTTTAGAAAGACAAAGCTAATTTCTAATAAGACATTCACTAAAATTTTGTTTCTTCTTTCTGAACCTGCAATACATTTCACTTTCTAATTTGTGAAACTGTGTGGGAAAATAGTGTGATCATATTCCTACATTAATTCTGCTGAGCCAAAGAAGAAATCAGAGGTGAGATTAATTTAATATTCTAAAGTCTTTAAGAGTTTATTTATGAACTCTGCTTAGTGTTCAGTGTGACAAATAGGAAGTCTTTTAGTTTGTTTCTTTAGCCCTTTCTCCATGAGGACAGGCCTTTTGAGGGTATGATCTACTACTGTCTCCTCAGCAACTGGAATAGTCCTTGGGACACATCGCAGGTTCTCAAAAGCATCTGTTGAATAAGTTCTTTCCTTTTATAAAACATATTACTGTACAGGGACTCTTTTCCAAAAAAGTAACCTTAGAACCTTAGGTAACATTAGAAAGCATTGTTTTTAAAATCTGAACACCCATGTCTAGTTAGTTATATCATAATTTTGATAGAACCCCATGTATGTGGATATTTAGTTCATTCTGTGTTTCCCTAATATAAACTTCATGATGTTGAACACTATTTCAATTATATGGATCTCCTTAAAACAAATCTGAAGAAGTAGTATTGCTAACTCAAAATGCATAGCAAATTTAATATATTGCCTCTTGCATCCAGAAGTGTGTTACCACCTTAAACATTCACTGAAGCATGCAACTGTTTCATTTCCCACGTCCTCTCTACCACTTAATATTAACATTTTTAAAAAGTGTTTTAAAACTTCATAACAAAAAAATTTGAGCAGAAACATTTAAGCACCTCAAGATTGTTTTTTGATGAAAATGTTTTATTTTTCTCAAAATAAGTACCAGTAGGAATTGCTGAGGAGAGCAAATTAATTCTTTGGGCTCACATTCTTATCTTACCAAAATGTCTCAAATCCTGTTTTATACATTATGTTGCTAACGGGCCAATTACCCTGAGCATAAGGCCTATGTTGTAGAGAACTGGCCATCAGAATTGGTCATTATATTGGTCACCATCTGTTCGTATATATATATGTGAATATCTTGTCACTTACGAGGCGAGATCTAGGGATACAAATAACCATTATCATTTTCCTGATTAAGAATATTTTCTTTATCCAAAAAAGAAGATTATTATATATTTTAGATAATCATTTTGATACGCAAGTCCTTCAAATGTTACCAAATTCTTTAAATCAAACATAAAACATTTAAATGTAAGAACTTGGATACCAAGATTTTTGGAGGCTGGCAGAGATTTTACGACATATTTAAAAGTATTTCATGTGGAAGACTGTCATGCCTGAAAACAAGTAAAATGTAATATTGTTATCAATAATATTTCTGTAAATAACATGAATTGATTAGTGCACTTACCTTGTATTTTGCTCCTTTTTTTGGCGGCCTCTTCACTATGTTGGAGTAATTTCCTCAGCAAGTCTTGCTAGCGGGTAGTATTGGGCTTCCATTACAGAAACCCGAGTCCATGAGCTTATTTTGTCAGACCTTGATGACTGCAGGGAACAGGCACGAACCCTGCTCCTCAGACCCTGGTTCTCAGTTGTTCCAGGAGTCACAGCAAAGGGTGCAGCAGGGTGGTGGCTCACCCCTATTGGTGGCAGCGTTGATGACCTCACCCTGCTGACTGTGACATAATAATGGCTTGGTTCTGACTGCCTCCCTCTACAAGCCACAGACCTGCAAAGCCAAGCCTGTTTTCCCTGAAAACTTCTAGGTTGTTCTTTGAGTTGTCCTAGAGCTTTCCAGTCATACCCTTTCCAATTTAAATTTTTTAAATTTTTTTAATTTTAAATATTAAAAAACCTAACAAAACAACAATGAAGACAAAAATCAAAACAACACAAAAACAACAAAAAGATGCATGATCTCAAAACAAAGTGATAGGAATTAACAATGGTTGCTACATTACATACTGTTATTTTCAATGAAATTGCTCATTCCACCAGACATAAGAATGTAGGATTGATCAAACAATCAAAGACAGTAACAAGTAATAAAAGAAACTGGAAATGATGCAGCAGTTCATCATACAAGACAGTAGAAGTTCAGCAATGGTTCTTATTATTGTTTTCAGACCATATACTGCATATTATTGTTTTCAGACCAGTCATTCTGATTAACAAGTTCAAGTGTGCAAAATTGGTCAAGAAAAAAAAGAAAATTTTAAGCATGGACTGTTCCTTTCAATAAACCACAGACATCAGCAATGCACCTATCCCAGCTGTCCTTGTATATACATATGAATTTTGTCTTTCATTTTGAAGGGAAAAGAAAAAACCCAAAATAACCAGAACAAATACATAAACAAAACAGCATAGGGAACAATAAAAATGATACATAATTTCAAAACATGGGGATAGGATATTAACAATAGTTGTTATACTGCACAAAGTCATCTTCAAAATGGTTGGACATATAACCAGATATAGGCAAGCAAGATTTGTCAAACAATCACCCATTAACAGTCCCTTTCAATAAACCAACAGATATTAGTAGTACAGTTATCCTAGCTATCCTATGTATACATATACATATTTTTTTCTTCTATTTCTTCTCCCCTCCTTCATCCCAGTTGCTCCTCCCTATTTGAGCAGTTTCTTTTCCCTTTCACAATATTGATTTTACCTTTCAGATTTTATTTGCTCTTTCAGGTTCTTATAGTAGGATGGAAATACAATGCTTACACATGTGAATCTGATTTATTTATTTATTTATGAGTATGGTTCCTAGTTGCATCTATTTACCTATAAAAGCCTCTAGTTTATCTTTCCTTATAGCTCAGTAATACTCCATTTTATAAAAATGCCACATCTTTTTTATCCATTCCTCAGTTGATGGACATTTGGGTGGCTTCCAAGATTTAACTATTAAAAATTGTGCTACTATAAACATGGGTGCACATATGTTGTTTTTTCTTTTCCCTTTAAAATGAACTGCAATTTTCACTGTATCACTCTTCTACTTCTTTTGTTAGATTAATTCCTAAGTATTTCAATTTTTTAGATGCTATTGTGAAAGGTATGGTTTCCCTTATTTCTCTCTCAGTATGTTTGCTGTTTGTGGATAGGAATGCTATTTATTTTTGAATGTTGACTTAGTATCCTGCTATGCTCCTGAATTTGTTGATTAATTCTAGGAATCTTTTGGAGTAGTTTTGGGGGTCTTCTATGTAGAATATCATGTCATCTGTGAATAAAGATAATTTCACTTCTTCCTTTCCTATCTTTATTCCTTTTATTTCTCTCTCTTGTCTAATTGCTTTGGCTAGTGTCTCCAGAACTATGCTGAATAGGAGTGGTGACAGTAGACATCCTTGTTTTGTTCCTGACCTTTTCCAACTTTGAATAGCCTTACTCAGTTTCTGTAGCAGCTGCTAATTTCCTGACTGAAACAGAATTTCTAACCTAAAATAAAATACCTGAGCACTGCGCATCTACTGGATGAGGGTAGATGTGTGTCTCTGGGGGCACCTTAATTTACTACAAAGTTAAATGCCCAGAAAGAACTCTGGAAGAGGAGTGACAATGGAGTATCATGCTAAAAAGATTATTTATAATGATAGTTAGAGGTCATAGCTAAAACCACTAAGGACTGGTAGTATGAGTAACAGAAGTCACTCTGAAGCTTTGACAGGAGTTCACTCACATTTATGTGTTTATGTATGGGAGGCTGAAGATGAGGGTCATCACATTCCTACAAAACACTTTTACCGTGTTACAAAGATCACCAAGAATTTACCACTGCATTAGCAGAGTCACAGTGTTGTATGCAATATTTCTACTGACACTGTGTTCCTGTTAGTATCCTCAAGCTCTTTGCCTCTGTGCTTAATATTTTTTCTTTATCTATAAGTGTGGAAGTTAGTAATTTATCTATTGTACTTTTGCTTTTACTTCATATAGCAATGTTTCACTGCAGTCTTGAAATTCTTGCCCTCACCCCCAGAAGAGATGCCACTACTCTTAGTATCTATCGTTTGGTGAAATGGCATTGATCTCTAAATATTTTTTCTCTGTAGAGGATAAATTAATATGAAATCACTTTGGAAAAATCCCTGTATCAGAGCTTCAGAAACAAGGCTGCACAAGGGAAAGATTTTCTAAGAGATTTGTTCACATACTGTGAGAGAACTTGCATTGCAATAGAAATGTTATTTGTAGCAGCCCTTCAAAAGATAAGGGAAGGTTTTCTCACTTTTTAACTGATAAAGTCCTCAATTTATCATGGCATTCATCACCATAGGAAAGAAATTCTTAGTGATAGGAAACAAATTCTTATTAGATCAGATTTTTTTTTTGTTTTTATTTTAAAAATAAAAGGAGGAAAACATTAACAGACAATCTTTTACAAAACAGCAAAAGAACAGTACAGACAGTACAGAGTTACAAACAAAGTGGTAGGAAATTAACAATGCTTGTCGTATTACATATTGATATCTTCAAAGTGGTTTCTTATGAAAACAGATAGAGACATGCAATATTGTTCAATCAAGGACTCATTGACAGTTTCTTTCAGCAAAGAAATAGAAGACAGTAGAACAACTATGTTAACTATCCTGTATATACATACATACAAAATTTCTCCTTCTTTCCCTTTAGATCAGATTTTATAATTTTGTTATAAACTACATATTTTTTCCATTTTTATTTACTATTTTTAAATAGTAAGTTTAATTTTAATAGTAAGTTTATTTTTAAATAGAAAGTTTCTGGCAGTTTATTTATTTTAAATCTTTGTCTTTTTGCTTCTCTATTTCTAATGCAATGATAAAAGTTAATTTTTTTTACTTCCTTAATCTTTATCAGACATTGTCAACTGTTTCATTTATATAAACTTACTTAATTCTTAAAAATATGTGATAAACAATATTATGATCAGTGAGCAAAAGAAGAAAGTTGAAATTAGGAAAATTGTCCACTGGTTCTAATCTCTGGTTAGGCAATATATTGTGCAGCTTTCTGGCCCTATGTGGGCCTTAAGCTGAGGCCTGTTTTCTCTTCTTCAAGAAACAAAGGTATTTGTAGTGTTTTATTTCAGGCTCACATACAGAATCTTTTGCAATATTTCAAATAGATAAAATAATCATTTCTTAAAACAAACATTATTAGAGTTATGCATATTTATAGATGTGATTACACAAAATTATTAGTCTTATTGTCATTATTATTTGCTTTATAATCAATAATACAAGTATTTATTAGAATTTTGTATAGTTTCTAGGTAATCATTCATCTGGAGCCACAAGTAAGAAATAATGTTCCTGCATTTTGTAAATATCGCTCTACTCATCATATTTGTTCTACTTCCTTTACTTTTGCAGTAATTTCTTGTCCCTCACTTACCATCTATATTTATAATATCAAGTTACTTTTATGGGGGCTGGGGATTTAGCTCAGTGGCAAAGCGCCTGCCTGGCAAGCGCAAGGTCATGAGTTCAGTTCCTGGTACCGGAGAAAAACCAAAAAAATAAAAAAATAAACGGTTGTTTAAAGTTACTTTTATGACTATAATTAAACCTATTCCTTCTTGGTGTACAAGCATTAAGAGAATTAAATGTTGTTTTCTGTAATCATTCAAACTAAGACTGCTTAGAACAAGAATGCTATGTAAAATTCAGGTGATAATCTAAGTTACATTAAAACTCCAGTTCACTTAGAAGAGTCATGATAGAATATATACCCACTCATAAAAATCTTGACTTCTAGAAATAATCCCTGAAATATTAAAAGTGACTATCGTTGTGTCAAAGCATGTCATTCTTTCTAATCACAACAAACATTGTTTAACATTATGCTTTTGTTCAGATATTAAAAAGAGCCATCCACTAACTCCCTAATATAAAAGTAGTCTTAGAACTTGAAGTTCAATACAGTAAGTCCTATACAGATCTTTTCCCTAGCTCAGAGAACCCCTTTGGTCTCTAGAGAATTTCACTCACTGTTCCATTATGAAAACTATTTGTAAGCTACTTCCACCTTCTTAAAAAATGCTGTCACCCTTTCAAAAAATGCTGTCAGTTCTCTCCAGAAGAGACTGAGAGTTCATTACTATTTGGTTAAAATGACACACACCATCATAGGTCCACACTGCTCAATCATGCTGAGCTTTGTATTCAGTTCCAAACCCTTCTTCTAATCAAGCCTATGTAAGGTATTGCTTTCCTACAGGCTGCCCTAGATGCTACTTATGAGTAATCACAGCTTTCCCTGTGTCAGTAAAGGGTAGGCAATTTACATGAAAGGAAAAAAATTCTATTCCTAAAACAATTGTTTCCATATACTATTGTTTTCATTTTAAGTAGCAAGTATTCTATTATTTCAAATTTTTAAAAAGACTTTATTAGTTCACCACATAAAACACACAGAGGCATAAATCATAAAGCAATAGAAAAGCTGAGCAGACCAATAAAAAATAATGAGATCAAATCAGCAATAAAAATTCTTTCATCAAAGAAAAGCCCAGGACCAGATGACTTCACTGCTGATTTATGCCATACAAATAAAAGAGACTTATTTTAAATTATTCCAAAAAGTTGGAAAGAAGGGAATAAATTTTTTCCAAACTTAATGTTCTGATGTCAGC